GAAAAAAATATGGCAGGCGTCGCGACGTGCTGTCCGCCGCGGCGCGAGGGAGCGGTATCAGGTGTCTGTCCAACTTGTGGCAGCTACGCGGCGCGGTGAACGTCCGAGGGGCTGGTACGAGCTTGGACCGCATGCATGTCATCATGTTTCGGGGTTGTTCGTTATCGGAATTCGATTCCGTTTGTTTCTGTGTACTCCCATCGAAATACCCTCTTTAATCGTGTTCACTCGGCATATTAATCGTGAAAAATAAATCCTCGAGACCTATAGCCTGCACACCAACAACAAAGAAAAACCGGAAAAATATATGGGAAACACAAATAAAACCAAAATAGAACAAGACGCACGATAAAATATAAAAACGAATAAAAACCAATGAAAAGACCTAAAATGGGGGAAAAAGAAAGATAAAATAAGCACGAAAAACGCAACGAAAATGGGACAAACAACTCCCCCACACTTAAACCTTTGTTCGTCCCGAACAAAAAAAGAAAAGAAAAGAAGACACGAGCATGGTTATGGTTTCAAATAAGAAGAGCTTCAAAATGCCTAACTCAATCAAGTCGAATTCCAACGACCATACGACCATATGCCTCAAATATCAACTTGACCTCAAAATGACAAACTCTCAACCGCATAGAATGTAATATAAACCTCACTCATTTTCTTGCACGAGTATATGATAGGCACACTCAAAGTTGGTCAATATTCAAGTTTCAGCATATGCTTGGCTATCGTTTAAATTACTCGAAAGCAATCAAATTTCAAAATGTGCGAATTAAGAGGACTTCACGGGTTGTAATGTGGCTGAGGTAAATGTACGAATATATAAGGACAAGAAGCTCAAATAGAAAATCACGGTTCTCGAGTATACTCAAGCATTCCACTACTCATCCAGAATTAACAAGGCAAAACACTTACTACCCAACCAACATTCCACAGACAGCTCATAGATGCTCAGAACAAGTTGCAACCTCATCATTTAACCTTATTATTTTTTTCTTTCTTTTTTTCTTTCTTTTTTTTTTATATGGAGAGTGACTTTTTCCGAACAAGAACGAATCAAAAGGACAACATTCTATAGGTTTAAACATTGGAGGTCATCCAAGTGTCCTACAGTAGTTTCCCAATGCTCATTACCCGTCAATGTGAGTCGACTAGTAAGAGGAGCAGAATCCATTCGAATCGTCCTGTGAGCTCTCATGTTTTTTTAACTAGTCAAGCAAATAAAATGCAACTTAATATCCACCATATTCAGAAATACCACCAATCCCCCAATCATCACACAAATCAGTCAATAGGTTGACAAGAAAAGGTTTTAAGCTCAAGGGGCTACTAGTGGAATAAGTTTTAGGACCAAGGAACAAGGTAGAAAGAGAGCTAATCAACAAAACACCTCAATCACTTTCGCAATTTTAAACTCTAATCAATTCCTTTCAAACAAACTCAAGGCAAGTTCTAATCATTCAAGAATACGACCAAAATCTCACAAGAAAAGAATAAGGCTCAAAACCTCACAAGATAAACAAATGTCACTCAAAGCAATCAAGCATATATCCAGGCAATGACCACACGACCATCATCACAACTTCCCAATTTCATCAAACATTCATCAACAATTCATATAATCCACCAATACCATGCTCAACAAAACAAAATCCTAAAGCTAGACACGTCCACCACATAAGCATGCAAAATCCAACTAGACTCCCCCACACTTAAAATGAGACAATGACCTCATTGCTTCAACATAAACCAAGAAGTCAAATAAAAGGACCTAGCAATTTTATCAAATGAACCAATACTAGCAAACACCACAAGAACACAAGACTCAAAAGAAAACACAGAAGAAGAAAACTAACTCAAAAAGATAAAGGGAAAAGTATGTGCAAACCAAAATGCCTCAAGGAGAATCTACGTGCAAGACACTCGCCTAGCTCAGCTCAGAACCTCGATACTCCTTCTGCCCGAGCGCTCAAATAGCACCTGTTGAGAAAAACACAAAAGAACTCTAAACTCCAATTATTAAAATATAAAACTAAAAGAGCAAAAAGAAAAATATCTAGAAAGCAGTAAATATCACTTGGGTTGCCTCCCAAGAAGCGCTCGTTTAACGTCATTAGCTTGACGAAACCTAAAGAGAACTCAACCGGGATCTAAGAAGAAGTGACGATCGTGCCACGCCTTCGTATTTTCGAGAAGTGGTAGCCCGGGCAGTGTGGCTAGAAGGCGGGCATAGTGGATCCGGGTGGTGATGTTCTGGATAAAGCGGTCTCGGGTACGAGCAATCCCCAGTAACCGACATAGAGCTTTTCCCACTCGAGCTCTATCGTCAACCTCCGAAAATATAAGTTCATCAGTGGAGCAAATCGAACTGAATCCTCCAAACTTTGTAACACAA